CGAGCAGGCAAGCATGGGGGGCAGTTGGGGGTGATCAGGCTGGCAGGGGGCAGTTGGGGTTGAGCAGGCCGGCATGCAGAGTGGTTAGGGTCAATCAGACAGGTAGGCAGGCAGGTGAGCGGTTAGGATCCAGCAGTCCCGGATTGCGAGAGGGATGTCCGACTGCCGGTTTAGGCCCGATCCCTGTAAACCGGCAGTAGGACATCCTTCGAGGGGTCCCAGATTGGAGAGGGTTGAGGAACACCCCCTCCCCCATGCACGAATTTCATGCGCCGGGCCACTAGTCTGTTAATATTAGTATAGAATATCATGTGAATTCATATTATAGGTAAAAGGTTACATGATTCCCTAGAAATAGTTCAAAAACATCTCAATCATGACTCTGTTATTAATATATTCCAGAAGCAAAGATCAGGTTTACCAATAAAAGATGACTATAAAAACATTTGCCCCCCCCCGCCCCCCGACTGGTTTGGCTCAGTGGATGGAGCGTTGGCCTGCGGACTGAAGGGTCTCAGGTTCGATTCCGGTCAAGGGCATGTACCTTGGTTGCGGGCCCATCCCCAGTACGGGGTGTGCAGGAGGCAGCTGATCTATGTCTCTCTCTCATTGATGTTTCTGGCTCTCTATCCCTCTCCCTTCCTCTCTGTAAAAAAATCAAATTATATATAAAATCTCAAACAAACAAACAAACAAAAACAAACATTTGCCTCCACATAAGTACTGAAACAAATGTTTACCAGAAATGCAGAACTTTTCTTTTGGAGATATGTGTGGGAGATATTGTTTACTATTATACAAAACCACAACTATCACAAAAGAGGAGAAGAAGGTTTAAATAAAGGAAAGCAATAGTTATGAAATTTACATAAAGTTCCTGTTCAGTATGAGTTTTTCCTTTCTAAAAGAGCATAATACCAATGGCTTCTAGCATTAAGGAAGAAACCCTTGCACTTTCCTGTAAAAATAAAGTGTATATCTGGTAATATTTGCTCTACACTAAATCTGTAATAATTCCTTCTGATACAATTATCTATACGACTAATCAGATGAGAACTAACATAGTTTGCATAAACCCGTGAACTTAATGCTTTTAAATGGGAGATGGAGCTTGAAGAAAAAGGACTGAAAGACTAATGCAAATATATGTACCTTCATGAACCATATGTATGTGTGGGTGTGTAAATACATAATTAGGTTTTAAGCTGCTCAAGGGCAGATACTTCTGTTGACTTTCCTATGGTGTTTTGCACAATTATTAAAAGTGTTTACATAATCCTTAGCTTGTAATAAATGTTCCATAAGTGGAAGTAAATAATAATTTACTGGTAATGGGTCTACTTGTAGTAATTAAAAATTCATCATTATTGAAAAGTAATAAACTTTTCCTTCATTGTCTTCCTGGCTTGCCTGTAGGCTTCTGCTATTTCCCAGAGATTAGGGCCTTGACAAGTTTGACATGTACCAAAAGGGAGGGAAGGGAGAATCTGAGTAGCGATGCTAGGTATGCCACTGCCTTGGGAGTAAGGAGAACAGAATTAAAAGTAAGGGGCTAAGCTCATCTAATTTAACCTTGTTTTTAGGAGATAAATCACCCCTGCAAGTTAGAGGTTGCCTCCTGAGCCACAGGCATGGAAATTCTTATGCTTGATTTATTCATGTCAGCACACTTCCCCTAGCCTTGCACACAAGTGAAGAGTGAGTAATTCTGTGGCAAGAATTATAGTTATATAGTTACATTGGAGTTTGCACTCACTTGGTGCACTCCAAGGGGTAGACTCCTGGCTTTGGCAACTCCTCTTTCCTGCTTGTTTGCCCCAAAGATGACTTTTGTAGATTATACAGGTCAAGGAGGGTGAGGACTCTATACAGGTACATGGGAACATAACCCATTTCATTAATATTATCTGTTGCTCAAGGCAGCTGGGAGGCCAGACATCTGGCAAGATTCCTGAAGTGAGAGCCTGGTTATTAAAAAAATAAAATCTCATTTAAAAAACCCCACATAATTTAGTCAATTTTAAAGTAAAATTGTCAACTTAGTTGAATTCAACATTCATATAGTGGGCTTTTAATGTACACAATTTAAAAAACCAGTCCACATGAAGAAAAACAAAAACAGAGTATGCTGTTTCTGCTTTCTGTTTTGTTTTTTAAAATTTATTTTTATTGATTTCAGAGAGGAAGGAAGAGGGAGAGATAGAAACATCAATGATGAGAGAGAATCATTGATTGACTGCCTCCTGCATGCCCCACATTGGGGATCAAGCCCACAACCCTGGCATATGCCCTGACTAGGAATTGAACCGTGACCTCCTGGTTCATAGGTCAGTGCTCAACCACTGAGCCAGGCCGGCTGGGCTCTATTTTCTGTTTTTTGTTTGTTTTTAAAAATATATATTTCATTGATTTTTTACAGAGAGGAAGGAAGAGTGATAGAGAGTTAGAAACATTGATGAGAGGGAAACATTGATCAGCTGCCTCCTGCACACTCCCTACTGGGGATGTGCCCATAACCAAGGTACATGCTCTTGACCGGAATTGAACCTGGGACCTTTGAGTCCGCAGGTCGTCACTCTAGCCACTGAACCAAACCTGTTAGGTCTCTATTTTTTTTTTAAATATATTTTTTTATTGATTTTTTACAGAGAGGAAGGGAGAGAGAGAGTTAGAAACATTGATGAGAGAGAAACATCGATCAGCTGCCTCCTGCACATCTCCTACTGGGGATGTGCCCGCAACCCAGGTACATGCCCTTGACCGGAATCGAACCTGGGACCTTTCAGTCCGCAGGCCGATGCTCTATCCACTGAGCCAAACCAGTTTCGGCTGGTCTCTATTTTTTGTTTTAAAAAGAGGTCTTCCCAATCTTGACACACTATTTCAATGTCACAGTTCTACTTTACAGAAATATTGCTCTATGCATGCTAACCTAGATGGAGCTCTGGGAATCTCCTAAGATATTCATTTCAACACATACTTACTGAACTCATGCATAGCCCTATGCAATAGGCATTATTTTCCTAGGTCCTGAAGAAGACTACCAAAGAGGTTAGGGATCTATAAGAGGAGAAAAGATGGAAGTGGGCTAGACACAGAAAAGGGAGACTTATTCTTCCTTACAGCACCATCTGGCAGTCCCTGAGAGAAGGTCTGCAGCTGTCATCATGTTAATGAGCCATTCTCCTACTCAGCAACTTTACTTACCTGGTAGTAGCTATACCTGTGCCTTTCTCCAGTAGCTGCAGAATCTCAGAACAAATGGTAGTGACTTCTGGAATATTTTTCACAATTGAACTATGTTAAATTAGGGGTTGAGCTCTCCAGTGTGTCCTCAAAGCTCAATAACTAACAAGACCCCCCAGGTTTAACATTGCCAACTGAGGCCATCAGCTGGAAACATTTTTATAATTCCCAGGAACTGAGGTGCACTGTCCACTTTGTCAGTGCTGAACGAAGACGCCAGCAAACTGTTCAATCCTTTGTGCCCTCATAAACCTTAGGACAGGTTTCAACCTCTGCTGCTTGTCACTTTGCAGTGAGCCAGGCACTTTGCAGGCACTTTGGGGATTTAAGTCAAACAACTGAGTTTGCCTTATGACTTGCCAACCTCTATTGCTACCATTATTAACATCTCCAAAGTCTCAGAGCTGGGTTATTACATTATTTTCCAAAAGGCCAAATAATATGCCAGTGCCATATACAATGCTTCTCCAAATAATAAGGATAAGCTTTCATTATATTTTTGAGATTTTGCCCCACTCTGACACATCACAATTTTGTTAGTTGAACTCATTGGTAAGTGGGCACTCCTTTGCATATTTTTTGAAGCTTGCAATACATTAAAAAATTATTTTACTGCTTCAGGAAATAACACTAGAAGTCATTTGTTGTAGATTTGGCATGCCTGCCAAATTCTGGATCATCCTAGGAGATTGAGAGAAATAATACAGGATGGGGCAAAAGTAGGTCTACAGTTGTTTGTATGGAAAATAATACAATTAATAAATAATAATACAAGAATATTCAAAACTGTAAACATATCTTTAATGAAATAAAATTGTACTTTTATGTTCAAAATGCTTATCTTTAAACTTAACTGAAATTTAAAATTTTCTGTTTGCCAATAAAGTTAACATCCAAAACTGTTAAATTCAATATTAAGAGTTTATAACAAAAATGGAGATAATGTGGTCTTAGCTGATGTTTGAATAGTACTACATACATTATACATTGGCATATATTATTTTTATCAGTTCATACTCTCCCAAGACCTTGAAATACAAAAGTAGCCATTGCATTTTTTCCTATGTTCCAGTACAAGATTTTAGTTTTTAGAATTCATAAACTCAAAATTATTTACACAGATTTAGGGTTTTTTTCTTGTTCATGTCTGAAGAGATTCTTTTTCTAAGAAAATTTACATTTTATAATCTTTCCCTTGAAATGGAATTTCCTGAGTTATATATGCATCTTATACATTCTTTGAAAGTTATTTTAAAATGTCATAAATCAGTCATATACATATAACCATAGCACACACCCTTGGTATTCACGTCCTTTTTTTTTTCTTAATCCTCACCTGAGGATTTGTTTTCATTGATTTTAGAGAAAAGGAGAGAGAGAGAGAGAGAGAGAGATGTAAGAGAGAAACATTGATGGGTTGCCTCCCATATACTCCCCTACCAGGGATCGCATCCGCAACCTCCTGGTTTACAAGATGATGCTCCAACCAACTGAACCCCCTGGCCAGAGCCACATACTTCTTTAAGCAAGATTCCAATTTATTTGTGCTTTGTATGTTTACATTATTTTAGCGCCTAATGTTAATTTTCAGTAAAACTCTATATAAAGATTTCTAAGATATTTAATAAATGAAGCAGAACAGTCATTATGAAAATATAAACTGCTATTATAGCTTTTTATCTTTTATGTTTATGTGTTTTCTGTGAACCATGTAATTTCCTGTTCTTTATAGAAGTTGACAAATTTTTATCTTTGTAATCTCAACACTGCTGCTTTCCCAGCTTGGCATAATGGCGTGTCACAGGTTTTCTGAACACACAATATTTACTGTGTGATAGCAGCTATAGCAGTGGAATCTGATAATGCTGGTGATAGTCATCATTTCCAGTTATTTCAAATGCAGGATGACCTTATTAGTTACTGCCAAGAAATTTCCAGATTCTGCAGCTCTTCTTTACTCCTTCCAACTGAATACGATTTGACTTCACCGTTTTCTTTTACATGTAGATGAAGGTTGGAAAGTGGCATTCGTAATGTAGCAATTTTGTCTATAGAAAGTGCAAGCTTTAACTGCCAATCAAAATCCTGTAGCTGTGTAGAGGAAATACCAACTATTTCCCCTGACAGGGCCTGCTTAATTTTATCTTTCATGCTTTTCAAGCATTTCATGATCGCTTCTTGATGAAATGAATCCAACTTATTCAATTGCTGAGATTTTTTTATCAGATAAACTTTTATCAACTACAGCTTCTTTTTTTTTTTGGCTAGACTGAGATTATTTACTAAAATTATTGAAATACATACATAAACTATGCTTAACTGGCTACCAAGATATACATGCAGTTCTACTTCTGTTTTGTAAAAGAAGTTAGTAAATGTGCAGCAGTAATGGTACACATTTTCTACAAAAGTTCCAAATGCTTAGACATGACCCGTGACATGACACAAAGTTGGATACTGTGACTCCCAGGTAGCCATTAGACATCGGACATGGAATGCAAACAAAATATTTCAGTGAATCCCTGTGAAAGGATACACAGGCCTACACTTAGCCCTAAAACTTAACGGTTCTGCTGGTCAGGTGATACAAAAGCTAGAAGATAGTCATCTGAAGTCTCCCAGGCCTCTTACCCAACTACAGCTTTGAAAAAAGCGATAATATAGAACATGCATCCCAAACACTCTGATAATCCTGCTGGAGAGGATAAGTTGGGTCACAAATGCCATCAATTATTTTGTGAGGAAGCCGCAGGCCCAGAAGCTTCTGCAGTGACCACAAGGGTGTCCTCTCCTCCAGATCCATCCCTGGCTGT